AGGAGGCAAAAAACTTTATCTCAGTGGGGAAAGACTAGAAGACGGGCAAAATATTCAGGGAGGAAGAAGAATTGATCGCTTGATTGTTATCTGCAATGGAACTTCTAATCCCTACAGTAATTAATGTTTTCAATTAAGACTTGACTAGACCTTTATTATTACAGTTAGTTTCTCTTTTATCGAAACACCGTAATTCAAAATATTTAGATTTTTATATATCTTATGCTCTTTTCTGCGTGATTATACGTTTAGTAGGTTGAATGTAGCGCGATAGAATAAGCAATAAGTTTATTAAAAATTTGAGAAGAGAGGAACAATTACTTTTACAAAGTTGGTTTGATTCAAAACTGCCAATGTTTATCGAATTATAAGCTTAGGAAGTATAAATTTTTACGGTAGCTTATGCAGTTCGTCTGAGCAAAGTCTGAACTATAATTTGGCTGCAATTAATAAAATTTTGAACAATTAGTAAAGTCGCCGACCTGCTGAATGAAAAATTTGATCGACCGTTTACAGTAATTTTTCTTCAAATTCTTCCCAAATAAATTGGCGTCAACCGCCTTTTTCGGTTTCTAATGACGACAGTAACTCATTATTTTACAATTGTAATTTAGTGAAGAAATAATAAAGTACAAAATTAATAAAGTAAAGGAGTGAATAATAATGAAAAAGAATGAACGACCAAAAACAAAATGAGATTAACCACGCGTTATGCACACAACTTAAACAAAACTCAATGACACTCTTACGGAAGTAAGTCGGATGGCACCTCGCTGCCTTCTTAATACACAGTGGCAATGAGCCAAAACCGTTGGAGTTCCTCCAAAAGAGGGCTTCGCTGCTTCCAAAAATTTTCACACCAAGTTGGAAATGACGGCGCCTACATATATTATGTCTAATAAGACAAATGTTGCAACGTATCTTGCTGATATTTGTGGTGGATTACGCAATATTTGTGTATACTGTAATGTAATACAACCACGGTTTGTTGATAAAGTTATAGCTAATCTGTTGCGTTCATTTAAATTCGTGGTCACACCACAGGTAGCGGAAAAGAAGTGTTTACAAATTCTTACTTCTGTACACTATTAAGTTGTGAAATCAGTGAAATTTATGTTGAACTATTGAACAGTTTTCGGAAGCCAATAAAATTTCATTGGACAAATATATAGGCGCCGTTATTCCCACTTTCCAGTTCGTGGCAGGACCAGAGTTACCGTAGTACGGCCGGCTAG